TTTGAACAGTTGCACAAATTATATTTGGTTACTGGCAAATAACAAATTTTCAGTTGTTTTTATTTTCTTTCATTCTCTTCAGGAATCAGGTATATTTTTTAAGGGTATCGACAAGTGACTCAGTAGACGCTCAAAAGCCATCTGAATCACTGTCGAGACAAACCGACGATGACATCGCAGAATATGGCAATGATAACAGTCTTGGCTATACGGTGGCTCATTATGGTGATAATGGAAAACCGCAAACTGTTAGTAGCCGTACTTTTGAAGGTGGACTTTCTTTTTTAGCCGCTTTAAATGACAGTTCTGTTAGATGAACTTTTAAATTTTTTAGATTAAATAACTTTTTAATAAGGGAAAAGCCTGTCACAGTCATTTTTTTACTGTTATTATTTGCAGATGACGGCAGAGGCACCGTAACTTCTACATATACTTCAGAAACACGTTATAGCAGCTCTTCTCCGTTACGAACCTTTGAATATAGCAAGGGAACCAGTAGTGTTTTACCTGATAACAGTGGTCGTCCAGTTTCATCTACTTATGAAGAAATTAGTTCTTATGAGAGTTCTAGAACTTCACCGAAAGGAACTACAACAGAACGAATCAGTGATGTAAGATCTGTTGTACGATCTGGGGATGACCGTCAACGACCTCCAGTGACGTCATTATCTCGTGAAAAGGAATTTGTCACAGACAATAGATGTTATGGTTTCCAGGAACCAGCAGAAAAGTTTGCTGCAAGTGGAAAACATGATGAAAGTGTAGATGAAGCAAGTTTTGGCAGTAAAAGGCATAAGTTCTTTGGCGAAGATAGAGAATTTGAAAAACCTGAAAACAGTAACACCACTGATGTCGGAATGATTCGAACTACTTACGAACGATTCTCCAACGATACTCGGGAACGTCTTCCCGAAGTTGAAAAAAATGATACTACACGATCGAGTATGGCTTCTTATACTGCTAGTGAGTTTGATCCATCTAAGATTTATAGCGGCGAATCATCGAGGCAAGAGACGGATTTGAAGGATTCTGTATATTCTACTTCATCTTTTGGTACCTATGACCGACGCACATCTGAACTTGACAATAGTTTTGAAAATTTCCCTCCTCCTCCACCGCCATCTTCGTCTTCTCAACAAGGCTCGTCAGTCGTTTATAAGTCCGATGTCAAGCCTCCCGTAGAATTGGATAGTGATGGTAAAAAATTGTCGGATCATCCGAGGAAAAACGTTGGGACACAAGAGGAAGGTAAACGAGAGACTATTCCTGAAAATGAAAGTGAGTTGCTTAAAAGTCTAGAAGAGCTTGAGACTGTTGGAAGAGATAAAGCTGGAGTGAAGCCTTCCGAAAGTAAAGATACAGACGCTCGAGGACATGGATCAAGCAATGAGACTGGTGACGACAGAAACGAGGAACTTTTTAGGGAACCCAAAGATAATTACTTTAGGACTGTTGCGTCTTATGGTGGAGAAGAGAAACCAGAGGTTTCAAAAGTTGAGACTGTTGAAGAATTTCCGTTGAATACTCTTTGCAGGTGATTATTTTGCGGTATTCATTGTGATCTAAAAAGCTCTTTGATTGCAATACAAAAATACAAGTTAGAAATGGTTTTTCAGAGATAAAGAAATGAGTCGAACTTCATTACCGACAGTCTCTGACCAGGCAGCACGACCAAACGCAACTGATGTTGTAATCGAGAAAAGTCCGGCTGAAACTAGAGCTGATGGATTAAAACTTACCTCAAAGTTGGTTTATCTAGGTTTTATTCTCCAACTTTGTGAGAATTTTCTAACAGTAGCATTTGGCGTTAGGAAGAAGAAGTAGTGAAACGTTGTACTGTCTTTACCAAAATAATTTTGGGTGCTGAAGGGTTATTTTTTTCTCATTTTATTGTGTCTTATAGGATGTCTTTCGAACTGATAGAACCAGAAGGAAACATTTCATCAAGCGTAGTCGAAGAAGCTCTAACACCGAGTACCTCTCGTCGAGCTGACGAAAAGAGGAAGGATGAGCTTGATGTATTATTCAATTCCTATTGAAATGTCAATGAAACCTTGAAAAATACTGTTTTTGAATTTAATAAAAAAGAGAGTTTGTTGAAGATTCTAATCCGACTTAATCTAAAGCTATTAAATACAACAGCGTTATCTCCTAAAACTTTGATCAAGGTTATTGCTTAGGATGGATTTGAATCTGACAAACGAATACCATCTGTTCAATTATTGGAAAAAGTCGAGCAGTTGCCACACTCTAAACCCCCAAGTACAGCGACAACCCCAAAAGTAACTCCTAAAACAACACCACGCCTTAACTTGAAGTTTATAAAAGTACGAAATTTTTGCTTTGTTTTTCTCAAGTTTGGTCAGCTGCAAAATATTTGTAAATATATTGGACGTATTTGAAGTAAATTAATTTACTGCTGTCGATACAGGATACAAAAGAGCAAAAAGGAGCATTCGACTTTGGCAAGTCAAAGTTCACCTCAAAACATGAAGTCGTCAGGCGAGGAAAAGAAGTTGAGGTGAAGCTGGAATCGCTGAAACTTGGGAAAGAAGACAATCTTCGTATTGTTGTCATACGTAAGTTTTTTTATTCTTTAAGTTAACACTGCATTTTTCCAGGAACTTCACCTCAACTTGCAGAACTTAACTAATTTTATTTTAGCACCTGCTAAACCAAATGAAGAACGCGTAGAATTCGAACCCAAAGTTAAAAAATCTCGCCATACTTATGAAATATCTTTCAGACCTACAGAAGTTGGTACACATAAAGTGAGTGTTTTATTACATCGTTCTTCAACTTAGACAAACTCTATAGCAATTATTAAGTTTTTTGGTGTACTTTAGATTTCAATAAGTTACTAATCTCAGTATACTTTTCCTAAATGTAAAAACATTCGTAGATTATGGCATACGTTAATGGCATTGTACACCCGCTCAGTCCGTTCCCAATCAGGGTTTATGATGCATCAGAAATAATTGTAGGAGCAATAACTCCACAGAGCACAACTAACGATACTGTAGAATTTACTGGTGAATTCTTTCTTATGGATGCCAGTCTCTTTACTCTTCCTTAATAATTCAGTAGAATTTCGGCTATAAAGTAATCTTTAACGGGTATTTGTTTTTAGTGGATGCTGGACGTGCAGGCTTTGGCAACTTAGAAATGGCTATCAAGGATAGTGAAGGAGTTATTATACCGTCTCATGTTGCACAGTTGGAAACAGGAACTGCTAAATTCCTAGTCACTTTTAATCCAACTACTGCTGGAATGCATACAGTCAATATAACATTTAACAAAGAAGTCCTTAAAAGTATGCGACAAATTTCATGTTATAATTCACTATAGAACAACCAGCTTGTCACTTTTAGTTTATGTATACATATGTATGTCAATGCAGTTAAAGCTTGCATCCTAAAACTATATGCAGCAAAAGTATATTGTATTATTTAATCGTGATACTCTTCTGGATGAGAATAATAGATTCATTTACAGACAGTCCATTTGAAGTAATGATAATTGAACCGAAAACCGAAGACGAAGATGCAGGGTTAGTGTGCAGTTTTGAATATTTTTATTTCTTTCTATTCTATCTGTCTATCTGTTTATCTGTCTACATAAGTATAAATATATATTTATATAAAAGTATACATATAAATATAAATATATATACCCGCTTTGTGACAGCAATCTTTTAGGCCTGCTGGAAACAAAACAAAAGACACGAAAAAGGAAGAGAAAAAACGGATTGAAAAAGAGAAGCCGAAGAAAGAGAAAGAAGAAAAGCAGGATTCTGCAAAAAAGCCAAAGGTCTAATTTCGAATTTTTTTTGGTTTAGTACTGATAATGGGGAATAACTGCGGTTGCTAATTTATAGATATTAATGATTTCAGTTTCATTGTCAGGAATGAATTTTCGTTGGGGCAGCTAATTTTTATGTTCCATTTTTGCTTTTTAGTATCTAGGTACTGTTAAGTGTTTATTTAAAGCTTGGAACATGTTATTTTTTATAATTTTTTGTTTTCAGTCTTCACTTATATGGCTGACTTTATGATAGTCAAAATGTTCTCCTCTATTTTTAATTTGTATTAGGTGTTTTGGTTAAATTCTTCTGCTAGTTTAGGATCGGCTAGGGAAAAATTATTGGGGATATTTGCACGAGCAGTTTTAAAAATATTAACCCTTTTATGGAAGCATTAGAGAGTAACCTTGGTTATGTTTCTTTGACATATTGTTGTTCTGAATATGCATGATATTAAAATTTTTACTTGACTGTCACTGAAAGTGTTGATCAGTTTTTCTTAAAACTTATTATTTATTATTAATGCTGGAGGATGTAATCCATAATTCCCCAATAGCAACAAAAAAGAATCTTTCTTTCATAATAAATATTTCAATGCTAGTGTTACAGGAAAAGGATTCAAAAAAGAAGAAGCATGTTGCGGAGCAGAAAACTACCGTTTCAACTATCCCATCGTTAAGCCGAATGAACAAGCCAGCCGTTATATTCGTCAACGTTTCGGGTGCCGAACAACTTGGAGTTGTTGTTTCTGGTATGAATGCAAAAAAACCAAAACTGCTGTACTGCACTCCTAAAAGTCGGCCGGGTTTCCGCTTCACAGTTTTTGCTGCACTTAGGAGCTTTGTTTTTGTTTTATTGCCCTATTCGTCGGTATGTTTCGTTTTTTTGTCATCTTAACCCCCCGTCCGTCTCTGTCCCGTGTGAGTGCGATGTGTTGTTTGTAAAATTTTTTACTTTTCTAAACCATAATTGATGAATTTTTAGATCCTTATAAACGCCCTGTGGAATGCGAAGTAGTTGATCACGAAAATGGAGTGAAAAAAGTTATCTTCACTCCGACTTGCGTTGGTAAGTCTGTTTACTATACATTAATTACAAGCAAGTTAATGCTGTCTTAACATATAATTAATATTTTATAATCAGGAATTATTTCGCACTGTTTCAAAATGCTAATTTTTTAAAGGTGATCATGAAATTGATATTAAATATGGAGGAGTAGACGTTCAAGGAAGCCCGTTTACTTGTCGCTCGTACGACCCAGCAAAAATTGCTGTGGGAGAAATACCAAATGGAATTGTTGATCAGACAGTTCACTTTATTGGTTAGAGTTTTTGCTGGCAACCTCATTTTTTTAGTGCTCATGATATTTGCTGGAATTATATTTTCTGTTTAGTGGACGCCAGCGATGCTGGAGTTGGAAATTTGGAAGTTGCAATTAACGAGGGGCACATACCGTCTATGGCTCAATCTTTAGGACAACATCGTTACGATATATCGTTTGTTCCAAGAGAGCAAATTGATCACACTATTTCTGTTCGGTTCAACAATGAACCTGTCCCAGGTACACTGATTTTTTTCAGCTGTTTGTAGTCAAACTTTTTTTTTCGGTTAGAGGGTTTATAAAATTACCTTTATTTTGGTCATTAAGGAAGTCCATTTATCTGCCATGTTGGTTCACCACATGCTATAACTGTATCTGGACCGGGACTGGAACGAGTTCCTGTTGGGCAGGTCTCTAGATTCTACCTGAGTGTTGAAGGTCAAGATCAAACCGTGGAACCTGTAGTGCTTATCACCGACGTCCACGGTGAACAAGTGCCGGCGGAAATATTCTATTCTGAAGCCGAAAAGAAATATGTCATTGAATATGTACCAAAGAATGTTGGAAATCACCAGGCAAAATACTTAAGCTGATTTTTTTAACAACTATTATCATTAAAATGCTAATTGACTGATTCGTTTTGCAGATAGAAATTGAATATGAAGGGGAACCAGTTTCTTCATCTCCATTCACTTCTAAAGCATATGATGCAAACTGTGCCCGCCTAACATGCGTAGAAAAGGCTGTGGTTGGTAAACCTTGTACGTTCACTATAGATGCGGCTCGTGCCGGCGCTGGAAATATGGAAATAATCGTCAGCGTGGAAAATCGTAATGTACCCAACTTTGTCCAGGTTACTTTTCTTGTATTTACAGATTGGCGTTCTTTGTTTTGAAATTGACTTGACAGCTTTGTATTCATATCGAAGGTACTTTAAAGCCAGAATGCCAAAGAAACAATCATTGTAGCTTCTTTAGGCTGAAGGCCAAGCTAAATTTAAAGTGTCGTTCACGCCACAAGAGCCAAAAGAGCACATTATAAGCGTTCGTTTTAATGGACAACCAATACCCGGTTTGCAATCTACTTTATATTTACTTTTAAAATCTTTTTAGTTTGAGAACTTATTTTACATTTATGAATTTTTTGAAACGTTTATTTCAACTTTTTAGTACTGTTATGTAATTTTTAGTAGGTGTACATGTATTTTTATATCGAGTAAATTAGTTTAGGTTCACCGATGACATGCCCGGTTATGGAAGCTCCTCAGCAGTCTTCTCGTTTGATTACCAATCAAGTTGAAACTCCTCTTTCATCGACTCCTACCCAGCAAATTAAACTAATTGGAGATCTATCACTTGCTCAGGTGCTTATTGTGCTTATTTTCTGTGTACCTTATGAGCACATATAGAAGAAACTGTAACTAATCTTATTTTGTCTATAAGAACTTTAACGTTGCTTTTTTTTCAGGTTGGTCAAATTAAAGGGTTTAGCATTGATACAGGAGGTCGTGATGTTGACTGCCTTGTTGTAGTTACTGGTAAGCGTGAGATTGTAATATATTAATACTATGTGTATATACTGCGTGCTAGTTCTTCAGAACATTCAGTGAAGCTTATCAAATTTCAGTTAACCAGCAAAGGTTAACATAACTCTTAATTCTAAAAGCATAAACTTACCTCGGTTTGATGAACTTTTTTTTTAAAAATAATTGTTCTATGCGTGGTAAAGTTATGTTGGCGTCCTCTTGCAAAAATCGTGTTTTTTGAATCTTATAAACTTTTTTTTCTATTTTAATTTAGTGAGCAGAACCGATGAAAAAAAACCAAAGATTTCCTGGAAGTAATTGTGAATTATGTAAAATGTCTTTTTTGCAATTGTTTGACTAGTAATATACGGTCCTTTATTGTACATTCGTCAGTCTTAAAAGTCCTCGTCTGCGGCTATTGAAATGTTTCAAAATCACTTATAACCATTGTCTGTTGTCCTGTTGTTTGCGTCGACGTTTTTTTGGCATTGTCCTATTTAGAACCTGATGGACGAGAAGTTACAACTCAGGTTGAAAAAGTTTTGGATGGTTATCATGTTCAGTTCCTACCATTAATATCAGGTTTATGCTCCTATTCACATTTACCTTTCTCTTTTCTTTTGTTTTAACAAGCTTTCTTCTTTGTTTTATTGTTTCTTCGGAAGGAAGAGCTTGCTATAAAGAGGTTTTGTTCAAAATTTTTCTGGAATGCTAAATTAATTCTGCATAAAGGAAGTTTTTTTGATAAGACTAAGGTTTTTTTACAGTTTATGGTTTTATTTTAAGTCTAGTTGGGAATAAAATTTTTTCTTATTAGTTTTTGCAAGGCAAAGAAATAGAATTTGCTTTTATTAACTGTCAAAATTATTTTCTAAATCCCGGTATTATTCATATCGTTGTTATTTATAGGTGACCATCAAATTAATATTGAAATCGACGGGAGACCACTCGGGATTTGTCCTGTGATAATGGAGGTGGTTCACACTCCAAAGGTCCCTCGCCTACCTTCTACCGTCCTTATAGGAAAGAAGCTAGCTTTTGAAGGTAACTTGAACTTGATGAATAGACATTCATATTTCTTCAATACTCTCTTTTGTTTCTGATGTCAGAGTTTTTTATCTGAATTGCTTTTAGTGGATGCGGGTCGGAGTGTTCAAGAAGATTTGATTGTGAAAGTTAGGGACGAAGAAGGTCACGAGCTGCCTGTCACGACAGAAACTGACAGCCGTGGTATTATAAGGGTGAACTGTAGGTTAGAAAATGGTTATTGTTTTATTTTACGAAATTGACTTCAAGTAAAATTAGCTCTGAGGAAATGTTATGGGTAAGTTTATAAATTTCAGAGCTAATGGTTTTTAGAATGCTACATTTTGAACCTAACACGAGTATACTAGTTTCTTCATTTTTTACGAGGAAATTTTAGAAAACTCCTTTGTAGATTTCGGAACAAAGGCCGTCACACAGTCGAGCTCTTCCTTGATGGTAGGTTGATGAGTGAACCTCAGTACTTAAATGTGATAGCTCCTGGTACTGGTGCACGGATAATAAATGAAATTGAGCGTGGTCGGGTAGGCGAGCCATTCAAAGTTGCAATTCGTGTAGACACTGGAGTGAGCAAGCACTGTAGTATTGCTCTTACAGGTTAACAATAAATATATTTCAGTCGCCTATTTTAATACTTTCTCTTACGGAACTTTAAGATTTTTATTGACAAAACAAATAATTTTATTTGTTGAGCTTTGAACAAAATTTTTTTCGGTCAATTCATTACGCTTGCTGCGAAGATGTCGTAAAATTGAGTGCTCACAATATATTATATTCTCGTTTTTCGTAATTTTTGATAGTTTATTGAAGCTATCTATTTTCCTCTTTACGCATTATGATTTAGACCCACATGGCAACCAAGTCCCTGTTTCACTTCGTGACATTGCCAACGACATTATTGAGGCTGAGTTTGTGCCCAAAACAGAGGGGAACCATAGTCTTTCTATTAAAGTTGGAGATGAACGTATCAAAGGAAGTCCATTCAGAGTTGCAGTGCTAGACCTAAGTACTGTTCGAGTCATTGGCCTTAAAAACGATCGCATAGGTTTAGAGCAACGTTTCAATGGTAATACCTTTAGACGTCTTTCACTTTCCTGAGAGGTTTTTAAGCATTTTTTACATAATTCTATTAATGCCTTGAATAGTACGAGTCAATTTTTGAAGTAAAATACAGTAAGCATAGGCTTCACTGCTGATTAAATTGTTGTTCAAATTGACTACTGTAGTTGACTGGTCCAACTCTGGCGGCAGTGAAGCGAGTGTACGAATAACGAGGGATGACTCAGAAATTCCATGTGCCGTTAAGAAAGTGAAGCCTGGTTTGTACGTTTGTTCCTTTACCCCCAAACAAGCTGGATTACATCTGGTTGACGTCAAAATAGATGGAATTTTACTTCCTGGTAATCAATTTTTTTTATTTTACTGCTTCTTGAATTCTACTTGAAGAAGTTGGAAGGGTTTTAAGCATTATTATGGAAAAGCTAGCGAGACATTCAAAAAAAAACTTAAAGTTCAAGAAAATTTGCTTATCTTTCTTTCATGCCTTCTATTATCTAAGTGTATTTATGTCTCAGTTTAGAATCTTCTACTGTTTATTTTTGCGACTTGTGTATAATGTAAATTAGTTAGTTAGGACTTATAGAAGTTATGTATTTGGAAGTTAAAGGAAATTAGATATTGAATAGTATATATGAAATAAAACTGAATACTTATTTCCGCAGAATGCCCTTATGAATGCATCATCAACGATACTGGTGCTGTACGCGCTCGTGGAGACGCACTAACTCGAGCGCAAAGAGGAAAGACTGCTCGTTTTGAAGTTTCTTTGTCAAATGCTGTTCGTGGAGAACTTGACGTTATTATAACAGGTAGATCAAGCAAAGTTCTAGAATTACTAAGAACAGAAAGTTCGATGTACTTTATCAGTTTTGAATTTAACCTTTTCTTTAATTACCGTGTATTTTGAGTATGATTTATGCTTGAAATACCGGTCAATTCAAGTATTTCTTAATTTTTTAAACCTTTTTTTTTACTTTTTTTCAAAAGTTTAATTTAACCTTTTGTTTCTTAATTATTAATTTTCAGCAGTGACTCTGTAGGTTATTAGTAATTTTTTAAAATTACCTTACTCATGGCTACATCGAATATCCAATGGCTAAGTTTAAAAATCGTGTTTGTCGTTTATCTGTTGTTGTTTGACGTTGCTGTCAGTTGTTTTAACCCCCACACATTCATCGTTTTGTATAAATTTTTTGTGCCAACAAACCTCTGACCAATCTTTCAAACTTTTTTCAGACCCTCGTGGAGGTCCGTTATCTGTAAGATGTTATCGTCAACAGGATGACAGTTACTGGGTTGAATTTACTCCTGAAGATATAGGCAAGTTCATATATTACATGTCCAGACGTTATGACTGACTCAAAATCTTTCCAACAATGACTTTTAGGGCTTCACAAAATTGAGGTTCTTTTTGCGGATGTTCCAATTGCTGGAAGTCCATTTAAATGTGAAGTTGTCGACCCCAGGAAAGTAATTATCAAAGGAATGCAAGAGTCCTTTGTTTTGCACCAGCCAGCAAATATATCAGGTTTTGTCTGTATATCATTGTTTACGTGTGTTTTCTCTAGAAAAGCGAGTTATTTTATAAAAACTTTCTTTTTACGCTGTAGTAACAAAAGCAAGTTGCAGTAAGCAGAGCTGAAGCAGGCAATGGCGAGCTACAAGTCGATGTTACGGATCCCTCAGGTCAGCTCATGAAGGCTGACGTGCTGAAATCTCCAAATGGAACTGAACAGATTTCATTTCTACCCACTGAAGTTGGTAAATATAAATTAAACGCCCGTCTTGCAGGATTTCAAGTTGCCGGTAAGGTTTAGGTATTATTTCAAAGATAAAAAGTAGTCGTATAAAATATACCTGAATAAGTTCTATTCGTTTTCAGGAACTCCTCAAAATATAATTGTTGAAGAACAAGGTAAACCATCAGTAGGCGGTAACGCAATTGAAAGAGTCGTGGATGTTAATCAGCAAGCAAGCGTAATATTTGATTCAAAGAAGATCAAAGGAGGTTTGAAGATTGATGTTAGAGGTGATTCCTTAATAGTTGTTCTAGAAACTAATATTGATAAATACTTTATAAGGTTTTGGAAATAATGCTTTAAATTCTCCAGGTCCGAAAAAGAGTAAAGTGCGACATACCGCTAACAAGCGCTCAGACGGCACCACAGAAATTCTGTTTACTCCTACAGAAGTTGGACAGTATCTTGTGAACGTTGAGTTCAATAACAAGTCAATAACAGGTCGTTATAACAAACTTTATGTTTTTTTCTTCATTTTTTTAAAACCAATTCTATCTAAGTTCATTTAAAATTTTCAAATTAGTATTTGAAATTTTTTAACGTTCATTTGATTTTAGGCAGCCCATTCTCGGTAGAGGTTGTTGATTCTCATAAGGTTATTATTGACGATGAGAATGTCGATGATAACAATCTTCTACATTTAGCGGTCCAACAGAGGAATGTCATAAATGTTGATGCAACTGCTGCAGGAAAAGGTAAATTTAGATTTTTTACATTTTTTTCTTTTCACTTTTTTTGAACCTTTATTGATAAGTACTTGTTTAGGAGATCTTCGGGTTGAAGTATGTAATGCGGAAGGTGATTTTGTTGATGGCTGCAGTGTGGAATCTCTTGGATATGGGAAATACCGTATCCTGTTTAATCCCAGAATTGTTGGTGAATACAAAATATTTCTATACTGGTCCGAAATTCCTGTCGATAGCGCATATCCACTTCAAGCTGTGGCAGAATCTGACGAACCTTCAACTTCACACGGTTTTGCTAGTAGTAACGCAGAAGTTGTACGTCATCTGGCTACTAGGTAATGCGGAAAATTTGATTAGAACAAACAATTTTATCTGTAATTTCTGCAAAGAGACTAAATAGATTAGATAATTGGGTACAAAGAAGCTTAATTAGTTTGAACTACCAGTTACTTGAGACCATTTTTAACTTTATTGAAAGCTAACAGTTTGGTTGGGGTTTTAAAAGGATACCGGATGAATTAATCTGAAATGAGTAAGAGAGTATGTTGTAGCGAAAAAGAGCAGACATATGAAGAGAATGAAATGGCCGATATGGGAAGAATTGTTCTGCGTGGCGAAGGTCTTACCCGTGCTTTTACAAAAGAAAAAGCCGAGTTTATTATTGATACGTCAGATGTTTCACGAGGTGAATCATCATGTTTTTTGCATTTATTTTTTCATCTAATTATGTACTCCCACAGTAATTGGCTTTTTACAGAAGGTCGGATTACATGCGCCCTCACTGGCCAAAAAGCCGACGTTCCTATTCGCCTTGTACATCTAGGAAATAACGTGTACAAAGCCACCTACACACCTCTAATACCAGGCAGCTATGAACTACAAGTGAATTTTTAAAAGAATTGAGCTTATACATATTTGTTTATTTATTTATTTATATTTATATGAATGTCTATATATACGAGGTTATTTTTAGGTACTGTGGAATAGCCATAATGTCAATGGCTCACCATTCCTTGTCCATGTTGATCATAATATTAGTGCTGCAGAACTTATTCATGTTGACACAAATACTCTCAAGATTGGAATAATTAATGAAGATATCAAGACATTAATTGACACTAGGCGTGCTGGTCCAGGTAATGCAATTCATTTTTAGGCAACGCGTAATTTTTGGAGCACGCTAATTTTGTATTAAAAGTTAGGTTTATTGGACTTTTCATACTTCATCTCTTAAGCCCTCTCTCTTGAACCTCTGCGAAAATTTCATGTCAAAAAATTTAATTGCAATTTAAAAAAATAGAGCTTGAAACTTAATTTATCAAAAAAATCATAATCACAGCTGTCTTTTCCGCTTGAGAATACAGCCTCATATTCTGAATTTTTTACAATTATATTTTAGTCTATGCCAATAATTTCTAGGGCAACTGTCAGCGCAATGTATGGGGCCCTCAAAGTTGGCATACTGCGAATTGTACGATCATCGTGATGGCACCTACACTTTATCCGTTAGGCCTTCAGAGATTGGCAAACATACATTAGGTCAGAGATTTTTAAGCAGTAGTATTTTTTAATGAGATATTCCTTTTTACTTTCTTGGAACAACTAACCAATGTTTTTAGAAACATTTTTCTTTTCTCCGTCCTTTCATTCTGATAATTCTGCTTTTTTCAAAACTATTTGACTTCAGTGGTCAAATATTCAAATGAGCACGTACCCGGAAGCCCGTTTGTTATAAATGTTTCTCACCCACCAGATGCTTCTAAAGTTCGAGTTTTTGGTCCTGGAATTGAACATGGCATACTATCTACGTCAGTTAAATTAAAACTTAAAAATTTGTTTTTATTTCCGACTTTGATGTTGTTCCACCTTCATTTTAACTAATTTCTAACCAAGCATTTTATAACTGCATTTAAATAGTCAGTTGGGAGTTCCATCTCAATACTTTACCTCGTTCCATTCCAGGTTCAAATCCAACTTTGTTGTCGAGACGAAAGGCGCTGGTGCCGGTCAGCTGACCGTGCGAGTGCGTGGCCCGAAGGGGGCATTTAATGTTGAAATGCAAAGGGAAAAGAAGCAGGAAAGGACAATACACTGTAAATATGAGCCGAAAGAGCCAGGAGATTATCAAGTAAATTCTTTTCGTTTTTATGCCTTTGATTTTTTAGAATAAGCTGCTACAGAAGGAGCTTGCCGCAGTTATAACCATTAATGTTCAGTTTCGCTAGTATTGATTATAACGAGAAAACAGTTAACTTTTAATTTAGGTGGAAGTTAAATGGCACGGGGAGCATGTTCCCGGTTCACCCTTCTTGGTCATGATCATGGATACTGAACAAGAGTTAGAGCGATTCCTCAGAGGAAGTGCGCCATCTCCACAGCCTGCTACTCCATTCATACCGCCGGGATGGATCGGCACTCCGCCACCACCGCTGTTTATGAGTGGTCCTCCTGCACCTCCTCATGGGCCTTATCCTCCTCCTCATCTTGCTCTTCCACCCCCACACGGTATGGTCCCTTACGGTCCTTCTCCTCCTCATGCTATGAGAACAGGTGCTAGAACACGATATGCGAATGGATACTGATCTGTGGCTTATGTTTAGAATTATTTTAAAGTTCTTTCAAAAAATATTTACAAACTTCTATTGTCTGTTATTAAAAGTATTAATAATATTGGTTTATATATAAATAGTATGTGGTGTACAAAGCGAAAATCTATGTAAAATGGAGAGACGGTTAGAGGACTGATTTGATAGGAGGAAAAAATGAACTCTATAAACTGACGAGAAAGTTAGGGGAACAAAAAGATCTAGCAGTGCAGACAAAGAAGGATCCCACCGCATTGTGGCAAAGTGAAGAACTTTAGCCTCCTCTCCGTGTAGAGACCACTAACTTTGTTTTTCGTATATGTTTTCTTTAAATGTCCAACATTCAACGCATTGATTATTTATTTTCCAAAAGTTTAGTCACCCAATAATCTGTGGTGTGACCACCACCATTTCAAATAAAACCATATTTTTTGTTTCGTTGTACGTGTTTCCAAAGTACTTCCATGGTTAGTTATAATTCTGAGAGGAGTGGCTTTTGAAGTATTACGACGCGACCAATCGGCATTTGCTTAATCGGGAGCATTTACTATAACGCTCCTCTACGTATCCCTAAAATCTCCACCCCTCACACCTTTTACTGTTGGCAACTGATAGCTGGCTACGCTTACACGAACTTAGCTGTACTAGGACTGTGTAACTAAGAAGGCGCGGATTCAAAGACCGATGATATCGCTTTGACACTGAATGGTTCTTAGAAGTGCTAATTCATGTCTATGGTGATGTTAACCGAGTCGATGAGCACTTGTTGTCGGTGTACAGTAGCTCATATTATATGATCACGCTCTGAATGACGCATTGTCCGCTTATATACCTAAATACCGCGAAATGACGTACTGCCATCGTCCCAAAGGCATTTCGGTAGGGATAAACCATAAGCCGACCCTTTGTCAGCCTGATATCGCCGATTTTCCGAGCTGTCGCCACCATACTTCAAAATTCTTATGGCTTTGAAAGTGGTTATATATTTTTAGAATAGAGAACTCTTTTATTAACATATTTGCACCTTCCTCCTTTCCACCTCAACCTTGAATTTTTTTCCATTCATCTTCCGCTAAAAAGAATTTGATGTCGGATTAAGACAAAACTGAGTTCATTCCATTTATTCATTATGAATAGTCGAGTATCTACACAAGGTAGAACAACGAGACTCAGCATAAAAAAGAACCAGTTGGAAGCAAGACAGAGTAAGTTCGAACAAAAAGAAAATGAAAGAACCAAAAGAACATTTATCTGATTCAAAAGGATCCAAACTATGGTATTTTTTTTCTGTCTACTTAGGTTCTCTTTGAAAGATTCGCTGAAGAATTTGGACAAAAGTTTTGCCTCATAAAAACATTTTCCCCATATACGCTTAAGCGAAGCAAATATAATCTCGAACCATTTTCCTT